CCTATTAATTAGCAGAAGGATATGTAGTAAAGGCCGGATAAAAACACAGAAAGCAAGGGATGTTGGTTTGCTTATTTGTTTTTTCCTGGTAAATCCTTCCCTTCACAAAATGGAACTAGGAGAATTAGAAAAGAGAAGTCTAATCTGGCTTTTTAAGGCTCAAGCTACTGAGTAACGTCATGGTTGAAATGGTGCTCTGCTTATATGAAAAAACACCCTTTTCAGAAAATCTCTTTATTCCAATTGAGATACTTCCTTACAACACCAGGTAGAACAAAAGAAATTAGCTCAACTATTAAGATTACATAAAGAGCCTCTGCTTGGAGGTTGCCACTAAAAATCCATGAGACACACTTTTTTTTTGAGGTGTAGGGCACAACTCCTTCTTTTTGCTATCAGTTTGAACTGCACCTGTACACCTCAGTTCTCATTGCCTGCCAAGAACAGAGTAGAAAGATTTTTTTGTTTCACAGGAAGCAAACTCTTAAAAAACTCTCATAACTGTTTCATGCTGCAGTTATGCATAACAATACAGCCCTGTGAGGCATCCCTCCCACCTGAGTGATGGATGGAAACAGGAAGGACAGCACCATAACTTGCCTACGGTAAGTTTTAAATAAAATGAAAGACATTATTCCAGCTATTACACCTCTCCAATTTTCAAAACATAAATCCTTAAGGTTTGACGAGGACAGATGCTTTAACTGTTTGTGCATACTTTTATATACCATGCATTTTTCATTCCCATTTACTATCTACTTACATAGACAACAAAGCACTTCAACAATGTCAACAACTTCTTTGAAGTGCGCTGTAGCTACAACTCAGGGATCATTCATAAAATATGAGGTTAACGTATATGATTAATTCCTCAAGTCTGATGGCCTGTACTTGCACAAATACTACTCCCACTCCCAAACCTGCAGTGCTGCAGCTGAAACTCTTGCAGAAATAAAACTGACATAAGAATCCCACTACAGTTGTCTCCAAAACCCTTGAGATCTTATATGGTTTCAAATGGCTAGGAAGCTCCAGATGGCAGAAACCACATGAAATCAATGCAGAGCAGAAAGTCTGATTGGTTTCCCCAAATTACCTTGACTCTCACAATAAAATCTTACTAAAAGTAAACAGTTAGATGAGATATTAGCAATGGGGCCATAGGTTTAAAACTTTAAATAACTGCAGAAAGATCCATTTAGAATATTATCAGGAGGTATCTAACATACGATCCTCTTTCCAAAATACAGCTCTTATTAAGTATGTACATTGTACAGTGCCAGAACTCAGGCTGTTAACAGAATTATACAGATATATTCGAATGACTGATCTCTAAATTAGCTAATTGATTCTCCTCTCTAAAACAATAATGATCAAAAGAAGCCGTCTTGGAATTTATATCTTTCCTTTGACTATTTTAAACAATCACACTAGTTGGAGTCCCACAATATATTCAAAAAACAAAACCAAAATGCTAAACTTTGTAGCCATCTCTAACAATAAGCATACATCTGAATAAATACTGAGACAGAATTTCCTTCAGTCTCCATGAGTCAAAGACTTTAAGAAATATAGCCTAAAGAATACTGAAATGTCAGCCTAGGGATCTTCATCTGTCACTATGGTTTAACCGGGCCTGTCCATCTAACAGGCAACTCATTCAGTTTGTTTAGATTCACATTAAAAAAGTGATTTCTGCTACTGCAGTACTAAACAATAAAAAAGAAAAAAACCACCCCTTCCTCCTTCCTTATAACCCAAGGCAGCATGTGTTCTAACAAGCAAGAGACTCAAACTTACATTTTTCTGAGGTTGGGCAATTTCTTGAAGAGTCCAATAGCTTCCAAAACAGAAATATCATTGTCATTCAAACGCCTGATAGGAACAAACAAAAAGACATTTAATACTTAACAGATGTCTGTAGATATATCTCTGTGTCATACAGGGCTGCCACACAGAGAACTCTGACCTTTGTTAAGCAAGACACTACCTGCCATCTCTCTCAGACTCCTAGAGTGAAAAGAGTTTAGCTTTGAAGGAAAGGGAACGAAACATTGAAGACTATTTATAGTAAAAGCTTAGGATGCCTTTATGAGTGTAATGCCAAAGGACAGTATCAGAATGCCACCTTCTTTCAGTGCACAGGATATGGCATTATTAACGTTAACCATTAAAAAGCCTTGTTTGTGTGCCTAAACCTCCCTCACACATTCTGCTACCGAAGACATGCAATTGGAGGTGTGGGATCTGATTTCAGGTCCTTCCCCATCAAAGTCTACTGGTCTTCAAAGTTAATGCAAAAGCCACTGTCTTGGCAGGTTTGGGATGCAGAATTCTTTCTCTGATCATATGTAGCTCCATTTTTTTCTGTAGAGACTTTGCTCTGTTTCTGGATGTCTGTTTCTCATATTTTTCTATCTTAACTTCAGATCAACAATTTTTATGAAGGTTAAATAGAATATCTTAAGTTCAATAGATAGAATACTAACACAAAAAGAGAATTGTGTTTGAACAGGCTACTAATGTAACAAAAGAACAAGATTTTTAAGTTACTAGGTAATAAGCATGTTCTCGCACTCTGTTTAGCAGTATATTATAATTCCTAAGAATCTCTAAAAGCAAATAAATTTCATAAAATCACTTACAGCTTAACAATACATTAGTTTTAGTGAGAGCCATTTCACCCAAGTGGCAGGCATTGCTACGATGGAATGAGTTCCTGATTACAGATTTAACTCAAAAGGATTAATCCCTGAAATAAAAATGACCAGGTGCAAACACAAAGAACTCAAAGGTAGAATGGAATCATAGAGCTTGGGCCATGTAAAGGGTCAACACTTCAAGAAGATCGACCCAGGCAGCTGATGCACAGGGCCATTGCTCCTTTCTTATCCCCACAGTTGGCATGAATGACTAGGGAATAAGGGAGTTGTGGTGCTCCTTTGAAATAAAGTTAACTTCCCCTTTTTCACACAGAGATTAAAGTAGAAGGTGCCTGAGTCCCTTTTACAGCCTTTAAAAACTAGGAAAAAACAACATGCCCTGCTGAGCACATCTTGGAGAACCAGCACTTACAGATCAGTAGTATATTCAGGAAGGTGACTGGGTAATCGGGTGAGTTTTTGGTTAGAACAGTCTACAATTGTTCCCTCGCAACGACACTTCTCAGGACAGACAAGGTCCATGAAACACTTCCCGGTGAATTTACTTCTGTAATCCTCTGACCCTGCAATAAAAGGAAAATATATTCAGCAAACAGCTCCTGATAACTGCAGCAATAAGAGATTTTATGGAATCTATTCTCGACATTGCCTCCTGTCAGCTCCCAGCTCTTGCACACAATTTTAATACTTGCCAAAGATTTTTGTTCAGCAATTTTTCATATTACTCCCAAGACTAGCCTCTGTATTTTCACTCTTCCCTTGATAGATTAATTCCTTGTCTAACAAGCCTACCTGTTAAGGTATTTTTTGAAGCACGTCTAATTAGCTGTTGGGTCTGCTTCAAAGGAGCTCAAAGGCACTTTTTCCCATTTGGAACTTGGTCCAGCAACAAGGAAAAGGGATCTCATGAAAGCAGGAGCTATCAGGGGCATTCAAATGACAAAGGATTTTTAAAGATATAATTCAAAATTTTCAGACCTCAGCTATTAGAGTTATTTCTGAGATCAATCTTTTATGAGAGAACCTTGTCCGTTTTCCAACAATTCGGTATCTTTAACAACTATGTTAAACAAACAGCAGAGGAAAGTAAAGCAGTTTAAATCATTTTCATTTTAATTAAGGAACGGGTAGACCATACTTAGTGAGAAGCACTCCCTAATGTACCATTATACCATGACTGCCAGACCTCTTTGACTAGGTTTTTGACCCGTTCTAATGAAATGCTTTTCCAATTAGGCTCAGTGAACTAATCTGTCCTTTTCAGATTTGGTTTTTCTCTTTTAATAACAGCAGGTTGGAAACTTGATCTCTGTGCTTCAAGGAACCAGGAGTATTAATAAATGTGTATGTAAGCAAAGTGTTGCCAAGACCCCGCCATGCAATACCTGCCCACTCACTTCATATTTCGTAATGGAAGCACCAGAACTGTCTCGGGAACCTTGTGTAATGTCCAGTGATCATAACTACCAAGAAGTATTTTTTAACTTTTCCAGAGCTTTAAAAGTCAATTGCAAGGCTTTCTCAGGAACGATCTGAGCAAGTTCAGTTTTTAAGAACCTGAAAACATCAATAAAAATTTAAACCTGAGCTGAAACTTGGTTTTAGAGACTTGATGACATTCATCACCTGCGTCCCCTTCCCAGACTGATAAATATACCACCACTCATTTTATGACGGCATACTATTTTCTGTAAGAAAAAAAACCTCACCTAACCCCACTATTATTTTAATTTATGTTACACATTACCTCCACAGGGTGATGCAGTGAAAACAAGCAATTCGGCAGGCAATCTAACATTTTGATTCCATAGACACACTTCAGTTTAGTTTTGTAAGTCCGAACTAGATTATGAGAAACATCACATTCAGCTTTGTACATCACCATTTCTGTGGTGCTAAATACTTTGCAGGTTATCGTGCTTATTGTAAATTATACATCTAAAGCGAGACTTGGCTACCAGTTTTCAGCTTGACAGCACAGAACTTAAAATATTAGGACCACTGGGCATTTTATAGTAGTATAAAAATACACTCTAAGTCTTTCCCCACACCACCAACATTTAAACTCTTATCCTTTCAAAAAAACCTCATCTGATTTCCAGTCCTAAAAATTCCATTCTTGGTAGTCAGGCTAAAATGTCAACTGATGAGCGTATCATAGCTTGATTACAAGAGCATACAGCTATTCTTTCTTAGGTCTATGAGACAGTACATTTGTTTATGTTTCCTTGGAAATAATGCCAAAGATGAACAGTTATCAGGACCAGAGTTTATTAAAACTGCTACAATTACAGTATGCCTTGAAAATCCCACAATTTTTTTCAGTGATGAGAAAGTGTCTTGGAAATTCCCAAATTAACCCTTGAAGGAGCACTTCTAAGTTTCACTGTAAAAACTTTTTTTGAAAGAGTAATCACAAACGTCATGAAGTTACACAGGGTAAAAATTTATTAAGTATAATTTTAGTTTACTGATGGATACAAGATTCATCTTCACATGGGAAAAAAAGAAGGATGGGAATGTAAGTGGAATGCTTTATGAAGGAGAAAGAGTAGTATATAACATTAGCAGGTAAAAAACAGTCTTTGGTTTTCTCTCAAGCTTTCTGGCAAAGTAAATAAAGAATATTTACCACATTTTGACTTAGCAGTCTCACTCTCTTGATGGCATACAACTTTTCACACTGCATCAGCTATAAGAAGTTGATCTTGCCTGGGCATCAGTCCACTGCTTCCATGCTTGCAGCAGGGAAAAGCCCTCTCAGCTCAGCAGGAGAGGAAGGGAACAAACATCACCTTTGTACTTTTCTTTCTGTCTTTTTTTTTCTTTTCCTTTTTTTTCTTCTAAATGAGTTTAAATAAGAGTTATCCAGGTAAGCATTGAATCAAAAGTAATCAATAGTGTGTATATGGTCAGCAAGTACTCAGTCATCTGTTGGACTGTGAGGCAGCAGGAAAAGACTTGATAAAATTTACTATTTGACTTGAGCCTTGAGATCACTTGGACAGGTGGCTGCTCTATTAGGATATTCCCATCTGGGATACTAATGCGAAATTCAGCCATCTGCTTGCAGAACTATTTAAGTGTGTATATCTATTTCTACACAACAGGGCTTTATCGGTGTACTACTGCAGGGTTCTGAGCGAACATGACAGGATGCACGTAGTACTTCTTGCATGCTATAAAATCACCTGTGGAAAGCCATGGAAAAGAGATGCAGGACAGGCACAGAAGAAACACTTGGCTTCATTTTACTATTTCAGGCTAACTATTTGGTTATTTTATTATACCTGAAAGCATGTGTGCACTGTAGCTGAGAACTCTGTGAAGCTTGGCTGAACTTAAAACATAACCTGGGAGTTTCTAGTAATTTCCAAAATTAAAAAGAAAGAAGTTTGTTGTAAAATGAGCAGCCAAGGTAACAGCAAGGCCTGTGTTTAACTGAGGGCAACTGTGTTTATCTGAATTGCTAGTTACTCTGATAACATTTTAATTTCACGACCTATGTGACAACACTATCAAACAGGGCATTGCAATTCCTCAGTATCATAACACAAACACACGTGCCATTTTACAAAACAGCAGTACTGAGATAAAGAAACATCATATTTCCAATTGCCCAAAATTTTTAGATGCCTTTCTAATACCCACATGGAGAAATTAAGCAACAGAGGCAAATACTCTTTTATCCTGTTCTTCTTTTTAAGCATTGTTTAGCAAACCTGATTTCAGTTTTGAAAACTTAGCTTTGCCCAAAGGACTTAAAAGGAGTGCTGGATCATCTGTTTTGGAAAAAATCAAGCTGCCTCAACAGGGGCTTGAATACTGACCTGATATATTAATTCTAGAAGAGATGGATCCAACTGCCTCAAATTTGGCACCAAGTTTTAGATCACTTGGTCTAAAACTTGGACAAAAAGCAGGAATCCTGACACTCAACTTCTTCATGACCACTCGATCACAATTTTCATAGCTTTTCAGGAAAAAAATTTCACATTGGTAGTATTAATTCTTATCAGTAATTACAGAGAAAATCTAGGAATCTCAGACATTCTTCTTCTGATGGCTCCACAACAGATATATAACAAATTTGCTAGATGAGGCAGTATTTCCGTATAAGAAAACTTCTGTATGAGGCTCTCAAAGTCCTTTATGAATAGGTGTAATTATCTCTGCTTTATGTAGGGGGGAAGTTAGGCGGAGGCATGTTAAAGATCTTATCTAAGGTGTCAAAGCTATAATGGCCCTTTTGGCATGCTGACTCAGCTTTGTGCTCCCTAACTACAGGACAATACTGTTGTCATACAGGCTGTGTTACCCATATCACTTCAAGAGATAAAAGACAATGTTTTGCAGACTCTTCTGAAGTTCTTTTGCAGTATACTACTCATAACGAAGTGCCAGCACATTAAGATTGCTCAGATCAAGTCCAAAGTTACGTTAAGTAGCAGGCATCTTATTACAGAAACGGCATCCAAAGCGTACCTCACGTAGAGTGACTCACTGGACAGCTCAAATAGAGAGATGTAGCTTACATTATTTACAACATAAGAAGACAAAAATTATTTTTCATCTCTGTAGGTATGGCTGGAATCACCCTTGGATCATATTAATCAACAGGATGCCTAACTTCTTCATTCTAAGAGCAATTAAACAGATTAATTACTTAGAAATGGTTATTCTGCATGCAAGCCCTCTGAAAAATCTGTCACAAACATCACTAGGGCTCCCCCCCTGCAGTGTCCAGGAGTCTGGTTAAGCAACACTTCACCTTTTTCATTTTTCCTGTGAGAAAAGGGGAATCTCACCTTTTGATGCTTCTGAAAACAGCAGAAGTATCCCAGCATGCCATGCGGCAGGGAGTATGCAGCCTTCCATGGTGCTTGACAGAACCATGTTCAATTTGTATTGTTCTACCACATGGTTAGATCAAGCACAAAGGAAAACCCCATGAACAGCCAGAGTCAGAGTTAGGCAGCGCCAAAGAGAGAAGAGCGTTGAGAGGAAGCAGCATGGAGAAGCACAAGCTGAAGGTTCACGGAGAGCTGCTCTCCACTCCACCCATGCAAAAAGGTGCTGGATACAAGAGGTCATCCTTTACGCTACAACTGCAGGAACACCCTGGAGCACAATCGGGGTTAGTGTACAAGAACAGAGCCCAGGTGAATTCAGAGACAGACTACTAAAGCACTGCAAACAGCTCCTTCCAGCAAGGATGTACAACTTCCATCATGTATTGAATGCCTGATCTACACTGCTAGCTACTTTATTAGCTACTTACTCTCTCCTGGTGTCTCCTTTCAGTATAAATGCCAGTTTGGTTTGCTCCATTTATTTAAATGCAATATTAGAAATACTGAAGCTAATATTAACAATAGTAGACTCTGAGCTGATGGTCAAGCTCTGACATTAAATGCTCCCCAAGCTCCCTTTGAGCTTGATTTCAGCTCCCAGAGGTCTTTCATGCTGGTGGCACTTACAGTGACAATCTATAATTACAACTACTTTGCTTTTTTATTTTCCAACTGCACTTTACACCAAGGTAGCACACCCATGCTACTAC